TGATGATGATGATGATGATGATGATGATGATGATGATGATGATGATGATGATGGTGACAATGGAAGGGTTGCTGGGGGGTGGGGGAGCAATTACAGCGAATTATTGGCGAATCTCAGGTTAAAAGTCATAGATACAGGGTGCTTAAGAGTAGAACCAAATTTTTTTTAATGATACGTTCTCAGACAGAAGAAAACGGTTAAAACAGCACCTATCCGTGGGTGGCTGGTGCCTCTATAAATAAATTATTTTTGCTGGGGTCAGGTTTTTGGTCTAAGTAAAGAGAAGCACAGAAGCACATCAACACAATAATGGTTAGGCCTATATAAAATTAGTGCTTAGAAAAGCAGGACAGACAGAAACAACATAGGGAAAGTAAAGAAGTGGGACCTATCAGTGGCTCCCTCCAATCACTCACAGCGCTCTGCATGATGGATTTTTAAAGGTTTTCATGCTTGGCTGTGTGTCCGAACCAAATAGAATTATTTAATTGCGTTTCCCTTTTTAATCAGTCTCACAATTACGTGCACGTTATTCCACAGTGTGTCTTTTTGTCGTAGGAAGTGACTCCCTCATTCTTCAGTCAATACAATCTTGTTTCAAAAGAGGTTCATAATGTGTATCCATTGTAAAATGCATTGAAAATTTTGTAGTATCGCCAGAATGCGTTGATCGTCCATGTTATACGAGTATACCATGTTCAAAAGCTCAGTAAGATATTAAGAATATCCCCTTCGGTGTTGTCTTCAAGTACAGTTATGGCTTTATATATGTACATACGTTAGCTTGGCATGGAGCACTTGGTGATTGTTCTTTTGCACTTTTTTTTATAGTAGAGGGTTTTACGGCGCTCGCAACTGCATAAGTTCATATGAGCGCCAAGGGTGGGTGTCAACAGAGAACTCTTTACAGGGAATCAGACTTGGACTGCTCACCTCTCAAACTTCAACAGCACAAGGTCTGCTTCGACTATCAAGGCACCCCAAAATAGCAGGTCACCAGAGAGTGACAAATGCACAAAAGAAGTAGAGGAAAATGACAATAGTAAGGACCAGGAAAGAAAAAGCAGCAGTTCCCTGTTGTAGATCAGGCACAGTTATGAGCGTGACATGAATCAGCCCATTTACAATTCTACTATGCTTGAACGAGAAATGTGCCCCCTTTGAGAATGGCCTAAAGACACTTCAGTCAGTGACTCTGCCCTATGGGGTTCTTTTGCATTTGATTTATTAATATTGGATATTAGGACGAGAAAGGAACATTTGTCGACCAGAGCCAGACTATCAGAACAAACAAGATTATAGGGTTATACTTATACGTGTACATGTATTTTAATAAATTATGTCGCTACCAATGTCAGTCAGGCCTATGTACAATTTTTCACGGGGTATTTCACGTGCAGACCATGAAATAACAATCACAATAGTCATGACAAAATCACAATATTAATAGCCGGCTGTTGATGATGATGATAATAAAAATAATAATAATAA